AAATATATATATTCTGTACAACAATTGATGACATATACGTAGAAATTTATGGATGTATTATGACTTACAACTTTGCGTCCTGCTTCTTCTATCCTAGTTTCTAAATCCAACATTTTGCTCCTAGTTTCTCTTCGTCGCACAGGACACTCACACTGACACTCGCGTAGACGATCGTACATTCGATTGTGTTAACTAACGCGATGCCGACGAAAGTCCGATTCAATACCTGAAAAGTATAAAATATTTTAATCACCCAACACGAATGATAACTTATTCTGCGTCGCAGGTCGGCTCGAAGCATAATGATTCACGGTCACGGAAAAGCACGCGACGTACGCGCGAGTAGAACTTATCAAAACAACGGGCAAAAAGGTCTACGTCATCACAGTCGCTAAATATCGTTATCCAATATCAATGTCGTAGGCATGATTCGCGTGCGTTCATGGTACGTGAGATCACAATAACCAACGCTTCCAAAACATTTCGGATTTTTGAGGTGAATAAAATTATCAGGGTGGTACACAATTTTGCGGACGCCTTACTGTTCGATAAATCGATAATTAAAACTAAAAAATTTTCGAGCAACCGCGTTCGTTTCTAGCCATTTTTCCATCATTGTTAATTAATCCAAAAAATACGTCCTCACTTTCTGGGTTAATTAACAGTAATGAGAAACATGTAGCTACTAACAAGTTCGAAAATTTTTAACTATTGATTTATCGATGGCGAAGCATTCGCGAGATTGTGTGTACATCCTCTGTTAACAGACTCACACTATCTATCGAAATTCGATGTCGCGTATATCTTTCATATTATGCATTTATTTATTATTTTCTGATCACTACACATTAAAATTAACGTGGCATGAGGAAAGGTTAAAGAGGAATCTGAAATGTTCTTTTATATAAATATTCTCAGGATATAATACTATACAGATTATTATCGTACTTTTAATGCTACAAATTATTATTTATTGCTATTCCACTTTTTGAAGCTTAAAGAAAAAGTTGCCAAGAGCTATATAATAGCTCCAGATCTTGTGCTAGAAGCACTGTTAGAAAATAAACATTCAGAATTATTTAACATCTGATTATATCTTAATATCCCAGCTTCATTTAATCTTCATTTACTCTTAATTTCAATAAGTAATGTATTAACTGTGACTTATTTAACTGCAGATAAAGTATGATACGAAAATATTAAACAATTGATATAGATATGATAAATATTTTTTTCTTTGTTAGCATGCAAGAATTTTTCGCATGCGTTTTCTCGTTTCTGATGTCATCAATTCAAGATTCTGCCAGCCTACTATGATTCTGTAACTTTTAACGACAGTGTCCTTATCGTTATGTCGTTGTTGTGCAGATATAATAAACAGTAGAAAAGTTGCGCGATGACAATATAACGACACTATCGTTAAATGTTATAGAATCAATAGGCTGGAGTTTTAATGATGGTTGCTCGACACAAATCGAAAGTGAGTGCGCAATTGTTTACGTACGCCGAAAATTGGCATTACGACGCGAATGTTGTCTCGCTCCCACAACAACACGCTCTGTATATCCCTCTCTTTCTTGCTAACAGACTGACGCTACTATCCGAGATTCGAGAAGGAACGGAGAAGATTACTTCCTAATAGCGTACTTACGATACGTCCCGACGGTCGCACTTCTCAACACTCCCAATACTTATTTCCGCACGAGACTCTCTTTCGACGAAAGACGCGGAACATAACACGGAGCGATGTTGATCGATGTGTCAATGGCGGTTGCTCGGCGCAAAGAGATCGATGGTGCCCGCGCAATGCATGACGAACGACGAAAATTAGCGCGCTACACGATGTAAACTTTGTCGCTTTCCTATAACGACGCCCTCTGCGATATACCCTTCTCTCTCTCTCTCTTTCTTTCTTTTTCCCCTGCGGACAGACCGACGTTACTGTCCGAGGTTCGGCGTCGCGTATATCTCCGTGGATATCACTTTGTCTCTTTCCTTCTGATTACCATTGCATTCTAATTCGATTTTATTGCTACTTCGGTGAGTCGATGGTAATAGCAAGTAGAAGAGACGCCGACTCGCGACACGTCGCGACAAGCACCGCTCGCGTATATCGGGGAACGAAGACACTACTTACATCGTTAATAACGTCCTCATGGCAGGCCCTGACGATCGCACATCGCTATTCTCGGCACTCCCGATATTTATTCCCGCGCAAGACTCACTTTCGACGGACAAAAGACGCGTAAAATGCGGAGCGATGTCGATCGATGTATCAATGGCGGTTGCTCGGCGCAAAGAGATCGATGATGCCCGCGCAATGCATGACGGAACTGAAAATTAGCGCCACGACGCGTTGTATTGCTGCAACGATGCCCTCTCAGTCCCGCGGATAGATCGATAGTTTCGATAGATTTAATAAATCGATAATTAGTAAAGAACTTTGAGAGATGAGATATATTCGTTTCTAGCTACGCGTTTGGGCCTCCGCACAAGAATGTCCGTATCGCTTTAAGTTGCGTTAAATGTTGACTGTAGTCTGTACGTAACAGTGAACAACATACAAAGAAAAAAATCATAATGTAACGAAAATATAATTATGTGTAATCAAGGCATATATTATAGAATTCTTCGGAATCGATTCCGATCGGAATAATTCCGTTTTCCCTAGAAAAGACAATAGAAATCTAAGGAATAACAAAAATATTCCAATCGGAATCGACTCCAAAAAATTCCATAATAATGGTGCCCAAGTACCTTATTATTTATGAAGTAGTATGAAGTAGAAATATTTTATAGTAAAAACAAATTAGAAGAAAAGTACTTAATTTAACAAATTAATATCTCATCAAAAAGTTTTTTCTTTTCTCCATGGAGTATACTGTTTATTCATTTAATGAAATTATTTAATATTTATTCAATGCAATATTTACGATTGTATAAACATATTCCACGCGCGCAGTTAAGTGAATTACGTAATTAATACATTATTTATCGAAATTTTAAGAATTGTAATTTGACATATAATCAAATATTATATAAAAATCCTAAATTAACTCTCTCTCTCTCTCTTTCTTTATCTTTAAATTCAAACTTCAACCACTTCATGTTGCACTGAATAATCATTTGCACCATCAAAGGAGAATAGGCTATATGATGTTATATTTCAAGACTGGTCTTTCGAATTCGATGAAATTCGCAGAGCCAACGTAAACATACCAAAATTTCGACTCGGATATATCACGAAATAACAGTTTGTAACTTGACGACAGGAAGTCGCTATTCTTCGTCGTATAATTTTGCTACCGCTTTAACGAATTGGCTCGAGAGCTCATTAACGAAGTCGTCAGGTTCGTTAAGACTTGCATGCATAATTATTATTATTCAGTTATTATTATTCAGTTATTCGGCAAAAAAGAAAACAGAACTGTTTCAGAAGCACATTTGTACACGATGCTTCCAGCAGCAACTCATTTCAATTAGTTTCGGATTAAGTCATTCACACAAAAAAAAATTGGTCCATCTTGTGTTGCAGGTGTGTGTGTGTTTTTATGTTTTCAATATCCTTCGATATATTTTGTGAGCCGAGCTTAAAGTGAAAATTCAATTGTATAGATTCCATGCGAAATAAGATGCTGTATGAGAATTTGTTATTTTTGTTTCCAGTCCCCCCTGAGATGTGTGCGGCTTGCGAGAATGTTCTCCCGCCTTCGATCGTTCGTAACTCGCGGAAACCATCGCCCTTTAAAACTTCTACGTGCGGTAAGATCAACTTGAAGTTGTTCAAAGAGAGAGAATAACGTTTATCCCGTGCAATTTACAGTGCGACGTAATGGCACTAAATGGTTATGCAACGTTGACAATTTTCTGCGCGAGAATGTGTAGTACGAGGCAGGAGAACGTGTAAAACAATCGATTAGTTCAACCCCGCGGTTCCACTTGAACTAATTAATTCCGCTCGTCCTTTAAACACATCGCCGCTTATAAATAGCTCGACTTCGTGATCAATTCCCTCCTCTCGAGTCTCACGAATGTAATTTCGTATTCGGTAGATACGACCGCGTAACGGTCGATCGAGGGTCAGCTAATTCGCCCGTAATCTCGATCCACGCATAAATGAACGTTAGAGGTAACGACTCAAGCGCACGTTCGGTATATCAGTTTTTCTCTCCGTTCTCCTTCACTAATTCATGGATTTTCGTCGATTGATCGGCGAGAGAATACCTCGCGAAAATACACATAAGCGAACGGGAGATCGTCGCTCGTGCGTTATAGAAAGCGCGCAATAAATCCGCGAGACACGCTTTATTGCAACGCTAAATGCCTCGACGACTGCCTTTCTCTCGATGCACCCTTTAACGGAGCCGCGTAATGTGCATGTTGCAAACATTCGTACTTCATTTCCGTCATCGGTTCGTGCAAGCCACACTCGCATTTCCGTCGGGTGCTTTGAAACCTTTGAATTCGTGCGCCTTGATTACAGATTCTCTTTTAGTCGTGATACATCAATACGTACTCTCGACGTCGACGTGAATTAGCCGCGTTGAGCGTTGAGTGAAAGATAAAATGTCGAAGGCACACGGAAAAGTAGACTCCACGTATCTCACGTGGAACGCATTGCCAAATTTCAAATTAACCTCGAGCAATGTAATTCTGTATGTACACGCGGTGATATACATGAAAGTAGAATACCGAATAAATATTTCATCGCGCAGAACACGCCCAGCCATAACACATACACGTTGTGCGCAACGTATACAGTAACAACGCTATAATATAATTTGCCGCGTGTGGAACATGCAAACAAAAGACCGCCAATTGTATATGCAGCGGCCGAGAGAAGTTTATTAACGAGTCGGACTATACGCGCGGTATCGCTCGCCTACGTGACGAAGTAATACGCTGCACTCAATTACGGGAGGGCAACGCGCCACGGGAAAACGTCCGAAATGTAGCAGCAACAGCAGCCATCGCTGCCGAAAACCGAAGCAGGAAAGTAATTTTTGCGTAGGTAGATTCGTTTATTGAAATCCACTTGTGTTGTATAATCAGATTTCTTTAGCGACGACTGTGCGCATCGCTGTTATACATCTTCGAAAATAAATGTTATCTATCATCGATTCTGCGAAAAAATACGCCAAAGTATATATCTGCAGTCGCTTCGGCTCGACGTTTAAACGCAATTTCGAATATTCAGGTAGATATTCCTGAGCGTTGTGTATATACAGTCTCGAAGATACCGTAAAAAGAAAGAATCTTGATAATATTGGAAATAGTATTCTTTCTCTCTTTTTCTATTGATTTACATCAACACTTCACACATCCCTGCAGAAATATTCTACTTTTGGATATATTTCTTAAGTTATCAATTAATTAAATTAAATTAAATCTTTATGTACCAACGTGACACGATATGATCAATTTGTGGTCATGATTCCCATATACATACATCAGGGACCTAATTAATAACAAATTCATACATACAGTTTCAACGACGTCGTCTAAAACATCCTTTTTCATGATAAAAATAAGTATAGTTACATACATATATATATCGCATCACGAACTATTGCAGCTATTTGTTATAGTTATACCTAGAATTTGTTTGGAGATTCGAAGAAAAAAAATATATACATATATACTAAAATAAATTATTTAAAAATACAACGTCTTCAGTACATTATTGACTGGAGATTATTTAAATGTATAATGTATAATCTTCATTAATCGTTTCTTCACAAACGCATATAAACATAAATAAGAACAGAATACTAGGCCTAAGTTTAGCATTATCACATTCGCATGACGTTCTCATTGTTGCGTACCAACCATGTAAATTGATTAAGAAACAAAAACGCCTGTTTAGTAAATGCTTGAAATTAAATCACGTAAACTGAGATTAAATTATAATAGTTTGAATCTTGCCTTCACAACTAAGTACATTATAAATCACAACGCAATCATTGATTAGATACACAATAAGACAACTGACTGTCAAAAGACTAGCGACTGTTGAAAATTCTGATTATGCACTTGAATTTGCTTAATACACAGCTAATTTTTCTGTACAAAATTGCATAATTATACAATTAGCTAAATTAAATAATTATAAAATTAGCAAATTACGGAACTGTGATGGTGATTCAAACGGTGCTGCATTACATTTATAATAATTGACAAGAATAGATATTTCATTATCACGAATTGGCAACAAGTCGCTTACAAATTACTCATACGAAATAAGTACAGAACATTCTATTCGCGAAATCCTCGGCTGTTATATGATTACGGAGATAATTAACAATTAACTTAAGACGTTCGGTGCGTCTGTTAGATAAAGAGTGATGACATTCCGCTGAACTAAAACACCATACTTCCCGAGTTCTAAATTTCTCAATACAAAATATTGCGTCAAAATGAACTACGAGCAAGTTCATATGAATTGCATCGGAAGTAAAAAATGACCCTGACATATTCCCCAAGAATCTACCGTAAATGATTAGGACGGCTCGACATCTACATATGGATTCTATCTTATTGAATAAAAATGTATTTCACAGTCTGCGGAGAACTGTGTAGATCAGATTTCGCTCAATTATTCATCGTAACAACGTAAGATTGATTCATTATTTGTCGAACAATATAGTCAGATACGTTATAGACTGGATGCCTCTTCGTCGGGAATATTATTTAAATTATTCTTCCAATAATAAGTAGGCGGTCCTGAACTGAAGCAATATTTTTGTTTGAGCGGAGTATCATTCTCGACGTAATACATAAAGTACATATTACACATTTCGTCTTCATTTGTTTCACCCACAAAGGTATATCTATCGCGCGTACTTTTCATCGTGCAACGAGCCGCCAATATATCACCATACGTGACTGGGATCTTATTAGTTACTGGATAAAACATTTGAGGCGTCAAAGGATCTCTCTTGCCGAGCTCGATCCATTCACTGTTTGGTTTCACCACGTAACCTGAAACTACTTGGCCCAATGAATGAGTATGCGTTCTATATGCAAATGGATAAATAGTCTTCTTCTCTGTCATCAGGCACGACGTCTCCATATGTGTTATTTTTCTAGGTGCTATGGTACCACCTGTCCCTAACAGGATGACCCCAGCCAGCTTGTTTAGTGGATGCGTCGTGTAATGCAGAAATACACCAGAGTCGTCTGTACTACCATCCTTGAAGTGATCAATATGTGCATAGTGTACCTGCAGAACCAAGTACTGTATAGGAGAGTCACCACCTACTTTAAAGCCTACTTCTTCTGGTAAATCCAATCTTGGAGCATCTCTTGCCCATGCATAGATAATCTGCTATGACAAATGGCTTGTTTCAATCTTATATTTGTGATAGTTATAAGATACATTGCATATCAATTTTTTTTATTACCTGAGATCCTTTACCACAAGGAGGCATAATGTCATAGTTATTTGTGGAAGATGTCATTTGTCCACAATTCCAAACAGGCATTGAGCTACCTGGTTTCGTACAGCCAAAAACAAGCATGTGATGGGTTGTTCCCATTGTTGCATTTGGCTCAAAAGCAGTTATGTAGTAATTTCTTGTAAAGTCTAACTTGATTGGAGTACACAAATACAGTTCAGGCTACAAAAAAAAGCATGATATATTGTTTATATCAACTATTATTACTAATATAGAAATCGAGTTCAAAATCACAAACATATAGTCAATTTTTCTGTTAGTTCTATCATTTATGGAGTCGTGAGAACCATATGTTGGAATATTGCCTGGACATTAATACGTATGATGTAAAAAATCATAGCAATACGAATACATACCATGTTCGGCTTTACGTTGGGCATCAGAAGAGAATACACATCGGCATAACAACGTGTAAACTTAAAAAAAATCGCGAAACAGCATAGCAACACGCGTTTCTCCCACATTTTCGAAAGAAAGACAATGTGTCAACGTCAGATCACGATAATGTAACCACCTGTCAAATGCTACAGGTCGGTCGATATAACACGCTAACTATAATCAAACCGCGTGACGTAAATAACTCTTTCTCTGTCTCTCTCTCTCTATGGTTCCAGGCCTGTACTCAATGGCCCTTTTACCACACATATGACGTAAATGACAAAAGGGTACATGCCGCAGAAGTGTATTCTCGGCGAACTTTACGCTGGCAGCGACATCCTACGAGAAAGTGCTGAGACTGAGATTTCAAAATTGCTCGGTTAATAATTACCATACTGAAAATTATTCCCTAACTATTACTTGGACTGTGTTATGTAATCCTTATCTCCGATACATACACTTATTTTCAACACGTTGTAAACATTTCTTTTTCTATGTAGTTTGAGACGTAGCATGGCTCAATAAGAGAATATAACTTCTAGGAATCAAAGTCAAATTCTCTCATTAGAAATGAAAGAATAAGTGTTCAAAAACTGTTTTGAAAACAAGTGTACTTTACATACATACGCTTGTGGACAATAAAGTTGACAAGTATATGAGTTTCGAAATGCATCCTATTTGTGCAAAGGAAGAATTCTATCCCACAAAATAAACTTGTTAATCTTTTTGTTCATAATATATGTATGCACAAATATAAACGGTAGGTATAAATAGCAGATTAAAACATATATTTCAATAGCGTACATTGGATAACGTTTAATAAAACACGATATAATATTAAAATGCAAATGCTTGTGCTCTATTTATTTTAAATATTATAATGAAGTATTTCTATAAAATCTTAATTATGAAACTATTTCGCATGTTTCCAAATAATATGTCAAAAATTGTAAACGTGCAGCAACCAATTGCCCACTGTTATATTGAATTAATTTCTTATATACATGTATATCTTAGCACGTACATATTACGCAAATATTTCTATGGACGGATAAAAATTGAATTGAGCTCACCGATATTTTTCAAATACGTACTTTACTACTAATGATTCGTGACTAGATTTCCTAAACATGTGCTTTCTACACCAATTATATTTTATTAATGATATCAAGGTTTCTCAGAGAGAAAGGATGTGAGACCTTTGTGAAGATTTCTCGCGCGAAAAAGGTTACTTTCTCGAAAGTTCGAAACACGTCATGCGGGAGACACCAGCTCGCGATAAAATTGACCTATACACGACATCGCAGACACTGCGTCGATGATGTTCATACGCCGCGATACGATAAGATTCGCCCAAGTGTCGACGTCAACGCAGTTTATCTTCTGTTGATGAATATATCACGAATCTGATCGGTCAACCACTCGATAGCCGGCTGCAAACCTTCACCGGTTAACGCGTTCGTTGCACGTATGTGCCACGGCTTATTTTGTATACGCTCGAGTCCCAATCCCGCGACTAACTTCACAGTAGTCAGAGAATCGGGCAGATCCATCTTGTTCGCAAGGAAGAGGATAGGTATTTTGCGTCCTGAAACGTTTACTTCATGCTAGTCCTTTTGCACTTTTCATAATCGCCTCTATACGTTTTTATAGCCGGTATTCATAGTCAGATCTTATATTTAAGATCATCTTAAGTACTGTCTTAAGATGTCATGAACCAATCACAGAGCCGTATTCGCATCTTAAGACATTACTTAAGACGGTCTTGAAATAAGATTCGATTATGAATACCGGTCTATATGTTTTATACATCTCCGTAATAAGCACGAGCGGTTGGCACTAGCGATCGTAACATATCGACGAATCATAAGCTTGGATTCAAAATTTCAAATTATCAGTTTGAAAGTAACGAATAGCAATACGAGTGCGAATCGTATTTAAGCGTTCATTCGAGGAACTACTTTAGATAGCTTTATTTTTTCGTAAATATTGTGTTTATGAATGTCAAACAACTAATACATAATGATGAATATAAACTAATATATTTCCTAATTGTAAATAAGATATTTTTTTCTTTATTTCTCCTCTTTCTTATTATTCTAGGTAAATTTGTATTATACCACAGAGTAAGCTTTATTTTTCATTAGCCATTCACAATAAAGATGACGTACCTACTACATCAGGATGCTGCAGAAGCATATCCAATTCTTCTTTCACGACGACCAATCGGAGTTTGTCGCTACTGTCGATTATAAAGATAATTCCGTGGCAATCCTTATAATAATGCTCCCACAACGATCTGTGACGATCGTGTCCGGACATATCGAACGCAGTAAAATTGACATTTTTAACTGAAACAATAATTCAAGGTTATCAAAGTAAAAATCAGATACTGACGCGTTAATTATATAATTTATCATTGCACAGAGACTTCATAAATAATTTCATATATATTATTTTTGTGTTTCAAGTGAAGTTTAATTAAAAAATAGAAAAAGAAAGGCTTCGAGATATTAATGTAATCTTTTGTAAAACTATCTTAAGGTTAAAATCTTGCAATGTACTTTTTGTCAACATGTATGAGAGTAGTTATTGGAACGTGAAAGAATAATTGGATAGATTTCATGTAAAAATATATATTTTTTAATGGAAGCTTCCATTCACATAGATTAACTGCGGAGTAGTGAGAACGCTAATACGTCACGTAATAGTACGAAATTGGCATATAGAACAGAATGAGAACCACTGAAAGACGCTGACCGTTCTTGGCGCGAGTCTGTTCAAAATTATTAAGGTTTTTTCTACGATATCCTTGCTTACAAACTATTCGATCAAGAAAAAATGCAATCATATAATTCTTTGGACGGCGAAAGTACGAGCAACAAAGCGGCGAATAAACGTATACCATCGACAACAGGTTGGATATCCTAATCCTAACCTCAACATACGAACGAGACAACTGATTTCCCGTATTTTTAGGTAAAAAAAACACAGAGAAGAAAAGATTGCGGGAAAATATACAAAAGCTGAGATGCATAATCGAAAAGGCCGAGTGGGCTTTGGAAATGTTACGATTCAAAGACGTGGAACGCAAAATCGAACCTCGAAATCCGAAGACCTCACACTTCAGCAAATTTACGAACGTTGAGGTTCAACTACAGAATGATCTGTACAAGTTCGCTGGTTTTCGTTGTGTTAAGTTCAAACGAACGGAAGCTATATTTAACTTTACATCGGCTAACGAGCAGCAGAATGACAACACTTACGCTGTACAAACTCTCATAAAAGATGGAAAAGCTAGTCTAGGAAGATGGGTGATGCCGATGTCGGTTGATATGAATGAAATATTGACCAAGACACCGATTGACAAATTAAAAAATTTAACTGCTTTCATGAAAAACTGCAAACACAATATCAACTGTTACACTGTGCGACAAGAGCAGTTTTTATCGTTAAAGGTATGTGTGTATATAATAAACATGAATACAATAGCTAAACTTGTCTGAATGGCTAACAAACATATTTGTTTTAGAAATATATTTTGCACATGAAGCACTATGCATTACATTCTAATATAGGATATATGCAAATTAATCTAGAGTTATATGGTGTACATGATAGAGAAGATGATAAATATATCGATTTGATATTATATTTATTGTATCATTCTGATGAAGCAAGACCATATACTGTTAAAATTGATACAACAACAAAGAATAAGTTAAGTGATGAAACAAACAAGAGATTGAAAGTATATTTGAAGGAGTTTAAAATATCAGATCTGCAGAGTGCTTTTGACAAAGTCTTTATGAAAACAAATTCAGCATTTAGGTGGATACAAGCAGATGACAATGAGAGCCCATTGGAAATTAATGTACGTGATATTTTAATAATATATAAATTTAAAAAATATCTTTTGAGCATGATTAATGTATATTTAATGATTATTTAATTTTCAGGACACCAGCATCTCTGATGAAGGAGACTTTTTAGAACAATTGCAATCAGAGCGGAAGAAATCGTTGACGAGAATCAAGAGAAAACGCGAACTACAAAATAAATGGAACAAAAGAAAGAAACAAGAAGGTATCACGAAGAATATTACATCTTCAGGGAATAATAGCAATGATGACGCTCATTCAGAAGCAGAAATATCACATACCAAAAGCCCACATCAAACTCTGATAAATGAGAAGGAAACTGAAGAGATTGTATCTTCCTTAAAACAACAAAAACAAAATGATAAAAATCTATTAGAAACAACCCCAATAAATAAATCTAAATTGAAACAAACCAAGCTAAATTTCAAAGCTACCCAGTCTAAAAATTCTAGTAATGTAAACGAAAGCTCATCGTTTCAATCAAAACCACGCACTAAACTTGGTAATAAGAATCGAAAGGTAGCCCAGTTAATCACCAGTACTCCATTAAATTCCCGTGTCAGCGGTAAACTCATCTCTACCTTGGAACTTGATAATATTACTGAAATTGGGTCTCCGCTAAAGGAAGCAACAGATAACATAAACGATTTGAAGAAGAATAGTCGCTTAAAAAATAAAACTCTAACAAAGAAGAAAAAAGGTTCAAAAGTCATTAAGAAGTCCTAGATGGGCTATAAATAATATTAAGTACATATCCAGACAGTACACATCCAAAATTGGGACATAAGACATCTTGAAGACGTTTTTAAATAGTTTTAAAAACGTCTTAAAAACATCTTATGTCCTAATTTTGAACATTGTTCAAAATGTCTGGGTATACTATGAAAAGTGACGAACTCATAACTAGAAATATGAAGAAGTGAAAAATAAAATATAATTATGTGTGAAATGTTAAAGTAAATCTTTTATAGAATTAATAAGTTTTATAAAAATAATAAGTTTTTTATAGAAATAATAAGTATGTATTTATTTTTTCTCTCTCATGTATGATATTTACATTACGTTTATGTTACTTCCCACTAGACGACATGATAATTTATTGTAAATAAAATACAGTGCTATAAATTCGGACTATATCTTTATGCGAGTGCAATACATGTGAAAACAATTATTGAAAGCAACTGAATTTCGAGATATCTTCGACACTCTGTCGCTCCTCGCTATTTAACTTACATGCGAATTTTTCGACATTAAACCCGACAGTGGGCACTATGTCTATGCAACGGTCATCCTCGCGTTTGAAATTATTTATGACCGTCGACTTACCACTGTTGTTAAGGCCCACTACTAAAACGTTTACTTCTTTTTTCCTAAGACCTAAGAGGTTCGCTAAACGATCGAATAACCCCATTTTCTCTTGTAGCTGTGAACTCTCGCGTTTATCGGACATCAATAATCATCCCCTGTATATGTTAAGACGAACCACAAAGTAGAGTGGGGATGAAATTACCCCTTTTATTTCTTATCTACACCTACAACTGCGATTTTGTGAAACAGAAATGAAAATAATTAAGTTGAAAAGTAATCACCTTTTTCTTTTATACAATTAGTTATTATTGAGTGCACTAAATTTCACTAATATTAATATTTTAGTAAATGGAGAAAAAGTATATGTCAAGTCCACTGCGTACGTATGCGCGGTCATACTACTAAAAAATAAAAAAATATAAATCAGACAGATTTTATATGTATTTTCAAAGGTCCATATTCTGAATCTTTTTTTACCTATAAAAGTGCTTAGGAGCCACCTGATTGGCTGAAAAGCTACATTTAAGACACTTTTATCAATAAAAGAGGATTCAGAATATGAGCTAAATAGTTTCAACGGTAGATTAAAAGGACTTTTATTTTTAAGTAGTACAAACCGACGATTCGAATATTTTTTTATATGTTCAACTGGCTGTGGGTTAACCCACTCTGGGTTATTCAGCCTACGTTTATTGGTCGAACAAGTACTTATAAGCTTTATGATTGGCTAGTAGAGACTTATGACGTCATTAATCGCTCTCGGAGCGATTAACACAGGGCCAGTCGAACACGCTATTAGTAACACGACTAAAAGGACGTCTACATTGGAAGTAAGTAGTAAGAAGTAGGAAGTAAGAGTAAGAAATTGACCAACCACAGTCGAATGTGAAAAGAATAATCAACTATGATTCGTCAATTTCTTATTCTTATTTCTTACTTCTTACTGTTTACTTTCAATGTAGACGTCCCTTTACACTGTGTTAAGCAAAGTCTACAATAGAAGTCGTAAAGTTGTAAGTTGTAAAAATTGACCAATCACGATCGAGTATAAGAAGAATAATCGATCACGATTGGTCAATTTCTACGACTTATGACTCTACGATTTCTATTGTAGACCCCGCTTTATACAAAACCAGTTTATTGGTCACATATTATCTAAAATATCTTGTAAGATAATATGCAACCAATAAACTGGCTTTGTGTAACACAGTATACGCAACTGGAAAGCACCCTATGAAATGTGCTAGCGGAAAAGTGAAAATCTAGTGACATGATGAATACGGAATATATTATGCTACTGCTGTGATGAGATACAGGAAACATAACAGTCCTAAGGTTATAGCGATGTTTTTGAGGTTATATGTTCTATAGCCGATGGATACAGCTGATTTGGTCGATATTGAAATCATATAGGAACCATGATTTGTGCTTTTCACGCATAGAGTTATTTGATTGCGTGAACAATAAAAAAGTTCACGTAAAATCGATAAGTGAAAAGTGAAAAGATCGCTCGAAGTTACATGATTGCTGCCCAGAGCGATTGGTCGTCTGTCCTTTTCTAATTTACTATTATTTAGGGCTGCGTTCAGATTCCCCACTCGGGTATATTCTATTACTAGAAGTGCTATAGTATATGTGACATATACTATAATGTTTCTAGTAATAGAGTGCACCCGGATGAGGAATCTAAACGTACCCTAGGGAAGTACTATTGTAAAAGTGCGCCTAAAGCCCGTATCAGACTACCGACTGCACAGGCCGACCCGACTGCCGACTACGATTGCCAACTCTCAATGGACCAATCACAGTGAGGCGCCGAGTCAGCGCCTTATTGTGATTGGTCTATTGAGAGTCGGCAGTTGGGTCGGCCAGTGCAGTCGGTAGTCTGATACGGGCTTAACGGACGTAGTTAGGCGCATTTTTGTTAGATGGCGTATCTAAAATGCGCCTAGCTCTGGCCATTTAAATCAGACTGGTGGCCGCTCTCAGGTTTCTTTCCAGTTGTGGTATTGAATGCACCTTTTGAGTACGCGCATTAAATTGATGTGTAGTTGTACGTGGTGTGTTTTTGTTAAAAGTTTTGATACTTAATTTTTATTGAATTTTACGTATACGATCAAACAAGTTCAAACTATACTAAAATGGTAGGTCTTAGCGCATATCGAAAAGCATATTTTTATCGTGCACTTATAGGTTATTGATTATGTATTTATACGGTAACAATGTTATTGCAGCCGAAAGGAAAAACCAAAAGATTTATTGACAAGAAGAATTCTGTTACATTCCATCTGGTCCATCGTTCACAAAAAGACCCATTAGTGGCGGATGAAACTGCACCACAAAGAGTACTTGTACCAGCTGGTGACACACAAGCTGCTAAAACAGAAAAAAAGGCAGGAGATAGTGAAAAACGCATAGAAGAGCAACGCAAATTTGGAATCTATTATGACGATGATTATGATTACCTGCAACACCTCAGAGATGTTAAATCACTTTCAGTTGAGTGGCAACGTGTTGAGAATACAAATGTTCCCAAGAGCTCTGATGACAAAGATGTTCCAAAAATTAACTTACCATCTTCTGTATTTGCTTCAAATGTCGAGGAAAAGGTTGGCATGCTCAACAAAGCAGCACCAGTTTCTCTACAGTTGAATGTTGATCCAGATGTGTTCGCAGCAATGGATGATGATTTTGATTATGATGATCCTGAAAATCAATTAGAGGATAATTTTATTGAATTGGCTAATGGTGGAAATAGTGATGACGATGGTTTTGATAAAGAATATGGTAAATTTACTAAACAAGATGTTTATTAATATTTTATATTAATATTTTATATTTATAAGTCTTTAAAATATTATGTTTGTAGAATATGAATTGGACGAATCAGACAATGAATATGATAAGTCGGATATCTCTTCTGAGAGTCACATGAAATTCTCTGATAAAGAAGATGAAGATGAAGATGAAGTAGGTAGCTTGAAGGGACCTCAGTATACATTCAAGGATGAGGAGACAAAGTCACGATTTACAGACTATTCTATGAGTAGTAGTGTGATAAGAAGAAATGAACAACTCACGCTACTAGATGATAAATTCGAAAAGGTCTATATTTCTGTTTCTCATTGTGTTATAGTAATATTATTTTGTCCTAATTTATATTTATTTATATTATTTGTATTTATTTTTATAATTATCTAGATGTATGCTGTGTATGATGAAAGTGAGATTGGTGCTTTAGATTGCGATGAAATTGAAGGATATATTGCACATGATTCGGATCTTGTACTGCAGTGTGCAGAAGAATTTGAGAAGAAACAAAAAGAAGATGTAAGTATAACTTGTGCAATGCAATGAGAAAAATATATCATATTTATCCACACTTGCAGACAGAAAATATCGCGGAACTTATGAGAGATAGAATGAAGATCATAGAAAGAGAAAGTTCAGGTTCAGAAGATGAAGCTGATTTAGAAAAGCTTGTCGTAGATGCCCGGCAAAAAGATAAATGGGACTGTGAGAGTATTCTTAGCACATATAGTAACATTTACAATCACCCTAAATTGATATCTGAACCTAAGGTAAATTATTCAATGATATTACAGACATAATCAATATTATATGGAAGACAGTGATATTTAACTAAATATGATATTTAACTAAAAATACATATAATTTACTTATATTTTTATATTAAGATTTTATATATGTTTGATGTTATATATGATTTATATATGATTTTGTTTTCTCTTTCTCTTTTAATAGCGTTTACAGAAAATTAAAATTGACCCAAAAACTGGTATACCAAAAGATATATTAGGTAATACATCTGGGAAATTAACTTCTCAAATGTTAAACCGATTTAATTCTGAGAATGATACATTAAAATCAAAAGACACACAATCTGTACCAGAAAGTAGGAAATCTACTTTAAGTATGCTAAGCGTAAGGCTTAACGGAGAAACTTCTGACGAGAGAAGAAAAAGAAAAAAATTAATCAAAGAATACAGAAAGGTGTGTAATTTTGTTAAATGTTTAAATTTTTAGTTAAATTGTATCTTGTGTGTTAAATAATTTTTACTCTTAGGAGAGAAGGATAGAACGAAAAGCGAATACAGAGGCGTTTAAAGAAGAAAAGAAACACCAAGAGAAGATTCGGTTGAATAACAGGCTATTCATTCGTCATGGATACCATGTATTATAAAACTTCATGAAAAATACCTTTCGTAGGCTAAAACACGATTTTATAGTTTGGATTTCAATATCATATGTAGAAAGATACACATCATTGTGTATTGAAAACATTATCTACAGTATATTAATCCCTTGTTTTAGCATTTATTTGTTGAATTTGTAAGACATGTATCCATTTAAATTTATATTCAGAAAGAACAAAAATATATATATGTAACTCTATATATATCTGTTTTACACAATCTTGTAGAATTTTTTGAGAATTTTGTTATTACAAAACAATAAGATTAAGTTTTAAATTTGTGATTAACGTGTACATTTAACTCGCGTAAGTACAACGTCTGGGAAATGTTATTGCAACACAAGGGAATACCAACATGAAGTATACCTCTCTTTTACAAAAATTATTCTACTGTCTTTTTTAAAATTAAAACTGTATATATATAAACATATATATGTAATATACAAAGTGGAATCAATATTTGTGTATTTCTTCTCGTGAATGCAAAAATCTTTCTATCCATTTTCTTATTTGAAATTTATTCAATCTATCCATCCTATTTTTTTCATTGTTCCATAGTATATAGATTACATAGATCAAGTACATTTACATGCTTTTATATTGAAAGTGGAAGATTCTATCTTTGTCGTTCATTGTACGTCAAAGGAAGATAGACAGATATTTTTAGCACGAAACGTAAAACGAACATAGCAGTGGTAGTCTCGTAGCAGAAGACGGAAGAATGACGGAGGAAAAGAATGACCACGTGAGAGCACGAGACACGGACGAAGCGCCGTCGTTTCAAAGGCGGGGCAGAGGGCGGAAGCTCCAAAGTCATATGATCGATTCGTGATAGCTTGCCGTTTTCCACTTGCTCGTCGCAAAGATGGCTAGCCAGACGCAGGGCATCCAGCAGCTTCTGGCCGCTGAAAAGCGAGCCGCGGAAAAGGTCTCGGACGCTAGAAAACGTGAGTGTATTCTGTGTACTGTGGCACGTCATAAAATTCCGTTGCGATACGTGTCGCGGCGCGTGGTGAACATGACGTTTGCTTCACTACTCGGACTGAAAGTTGTAACCTTTTGCCTACAACGATAATCCTCGATGAAATTGATACGAGTGATGAATTTTCGATATTTCACGCGAAGCGACGTAGTGAAATGCGCAGAGGGCGAATCTTATAATTTGCGATACGCGATAATATGCGAAAAATTACGGTGATTTGTTAGTGATAGTCTTGGCTAACCTGCGTGCGATCTATCTGTTATTAGCGATTATATTTGCTAAATTTTTAAATTTTTCGATTACTTGACAACTTTATTTAGGGAAACTTTAACATTTTGCATTAATTTTGCTTTGAGACTTGAATTGTCCATCATATGTAGATGTTTTGATCATCAAATTTCTCTAGAAACTCATACCGATATGTATTGATGAGATAGTAATGAGATAGTATCAAGAATAAGTTAAATATAACATATTGTATAAAATTTTAGGAAAAAGATTGGTGTGTTGTACTAAAATTTTTTATGTACCTTTGTAGGTAAAGCTCGTCGTCTGAAACAGGCAAAGGAGGAAGCCCAGGATGAGATCGAGAAGTATCGACAGGAACGGGAAAAGCAATTCCGTGAATTTGAAGCCAAGGTGAGTATTGCCTTTTGTCTTATAATTACTAGACTTTAGCTCTATAAAATCTACGAGATGCCTGACGCAAAGTGTTCTATATTTTGTGCACATGTAGATTAGATGAAAATAAAAACAATATTCTTCTATCATTTTGCAAACAACCATGTAAAATTGTTAGATATTAATTAGAGGACATATATTAGTGCATTTTGGCATGCAATAAACCATCAATCTTCTTTAATTGATAACTAAAAAATCTGTGTGGTTATTTGCAAAATGGTATGAGACTTTCTGTTCAGTTTGACTTAACCTACATGTATACGAAATATATTTTAGATTAGACACCCTATACTTTGTAATATTAAATTTGATTAACAATTTAATGGTAACTGTGTTCACGATATTGTAGCATATGGGTTCAAAAGAGGATGTAGCTGCACGCATTGAGGCAGACACGCGAGTTAAAATAGAAGAAATGAATCAGACCGTTGCTGTACACAAAAATCCGGTAAGCCATTTGGACAAAATGCATTTGATCGATAGACACTTACGAGATATCACGACATTTACTTTTTGTGCGATTTAGGTCATGCTTAAAATCTTGGACTTGGTGTACAACATCAAGCCGGAACTGCACAACAATTACCGCATCGAGGTCTAAGCCACGAAAAAGTTGCATCCAATAGCTATAATACATCTTACGCTATAAATGTACATTAAATATTACTGTTCACTTATAACATATCGTGATATGTATTTATCGCTGTTATATCGTACGACATGTTATATTTTAACGGAAAAAGTATATACCATGTAGCTGTGTAGGCAGTGATACTCAAACTACTAGAGTTCTTTTCTCCCCGCAGTTGCTACACGACAATAAATGTAACCGTTTATTATTATTATCTGCTGAGCTTCACTGGCACGTCGGACAGTTTGAGAATTGCTGTAATGTAGTTGCATCGTATATAACGAAAACAAAACAATATAATATGAATGTATCAAACGCGAAATACCGTCTGTCTGCTGTGTCAAGGCCTAGGCACATCGGAACGACGGTGGTGCGCTTGTTAACGAAGATAACGGCTAGTGCGATCCAAGGTGGTGGTAACGAGTTGTATGTAGTGTTAAATGTACGTCATTAGGTATCATTCCATGATTCTGTTGCATCGAGGACGTCGTAACATAAACGAGATTACCTACAGCCTTTCGTGGTTCACGGACAAGCTCCCAGTCGACGGTGGACTACGCGACGATGTAGTAATATTTTACTTTTTCCTTTACCAGAATTATATATTGAGAGCCCTTTGATCATATAGATTCCTATAAAACGGATAGCGCTTCACCTCACATGTATATCCTATCTCTGTAAGCTGGTTGGTTGTCTGTACAGTATTAGTGTTCAAAATACAAAAAAGGAAGAAAAAGCCGAAAGGCACTATATAGTTCTCTTGTTCTTATTCTTTCACCTTTTTGAAACTACTGTACATACATTTTTCATTATTGAGTAGAAGCATGTGCACTTGAATTATTTACCTGGATTGATGAAGTATTCTGGGGAAAGGGACATCGATAAAAGACGTTATATATTCATTCATGTATTCAGGGACACACATTAAATTTAAAATTTATTTCGTGTGTCACATGTGAAGACGAATCTTGCATGTTGTTACGGAGGTTTTGTTGATATGCTCTTCATTCGATTATGCAAGCATTGCACTTATTATTTTATGCGCATACAATTATTATAATTTTCTCAATAATTACTTCGTTTATAGACTTTATCGTTGAATATTGTAAAAAAGCGCGTAATATGTCGTACAAACTCATTAAGCGTCAACAATAATCCATGTTGTTTTTGTCGATTATAAGTGACTTATATAACAGTTCAACGATACGATGACCTGCTTTTGCGATTCGTGTATTATACAGAATATCTGACACACATTTGACAAGATTGTCAAAAATATGTGTGCATAGGTAGATTAGATTGAACTGAACAAAAAATTACTCTGCTATTTTTCAAACAACTACATAAAATTTCGAGATGTTAATGAAAAAAACACGGCGTGTAAACAATTGATTTTCGACGTATAGCGAACGTGTCATGCATGTCGCTAAGAAACAATTGCAAATCTCAGCCATTTTCGATGAGTTTGCGTTTACGGAACTTGTTCCACGGTATTACACGTACTGCATCCCACGGCATTGGTTCGCCAATCTTTTTTTATTATCTCGAAATTTGACGAATTTGGTTGTCTAGAATGATAGAATTTTTTGTCTACTTTAATCTAATCTATCCGCATACGTGCTTTGGAAATCTCGTGCAAGACACTTTGTATACATCGATTTTCGATATATGAAAATATCTATTACAATCGTTAAAATTTTCCGCATTAATCGGACAATTATCAAACCAAAAGATTGTAATACAGATATCTAATTATGTTAAATAGCAATCAAGTATTAATATCAGTCAGAAATTAGTAAAAGTATCAATTAAAATCAAGTATTAATATCAGTCAGAAGTTAGTAAAAGTATCAAAGTATTGCTTTTTCAAAATCAAACTCAAAATATGTTCTGATGCTAAACAGAGATTTATCTGCCATTACTTATCATTCACTTTATATTAGGTCCATTTAATAACACAAGTTGACACAAGCATTATCCTATCTTTGTTACTCATTGAATATAGAACAGAAGGACAGAATGATGCTTATGTCGATTTGTGTTATTAAATGGAAAGCCAATAGATATGAAATCTATCAAATGCGACAAAAGGCTCCGTCGATATCTGCGTACGCTACTGCATGAGGTTCGTCACGTGCAGAGTTGCCCAGCGCTAGACGCCGTTGAGGAGCGCGCACGCGCACTCGCGCCGCCGGAGCGGTGGGGAGCGATCAGCTGTGGCGCGCCTAACCTCCCCTCACTCGCGAACGTGTCGTGCTCCGAAGCGGCAGTACGTTTCGTGTCTACGTGTGTGAGCGTGCGCGAGCGCGCGCGCGCACGATTGTCTGTTCTTGTCTGACGTTAGCAGCGGCAACACCAGCGCCACTCGATAGCGGCCGGAAGGCGATTCGATTACGCGAACTGAGCCGCGGCAGCGCAGCGCAGCGCGAAGAGCTGGTCAGTGCGTGTGGCATTCCGCGCCGAGAAATGGAAGCCGACGAGACGCGTTCGGTCAGTACAAGCGTGAGCACGTTGCCGAGGTCGCATATAGTCGCGCGCGACATCGCAGTGACAGCTGTGCACGTACGCCGCTTTTGAGTTTGTTATGACAAAGAACGTATCACCGGCCACGACCGGTCGCCGACCATCAGTTGCGTATCCGGAGAAGAAAAGACCGTCGTCGCCGTTGTTGTTATCATCGTCGTTCTTGTAAACGTGCGCGTCGCGATTAAAGTGTTGTTGGTTCTTTTTCTGTTCGACTCGTGAGAGGAGGAATCGCGTCGGGCGACGACGAGGGATTAGGCACGCCAGCTTTGAAAGTCACCGGGAGAAAGAGAATCGGGAAGATGTGGTGCCTCGTCAGCCAAGCCAACTCCGTCATCCTCGAGGTGCAGGTCGACCCGAAGGCCATCGGCCAGGAGTGTCTTGAAAAGGTTAGTGTGCGTTTTCTTCTTTGTTCGCAAACACTGGATAGTCCGCCTCCTCCGGTTTCGTTTGCCTAATATGCCGATCGCGCTCGATGTAAACAATGGACGACGAAAACACGGTCGGCCACATTTCGCGCTGAGAATGTACGCTTGTTATGATTAGTTATCTCGTATTCTTTACCGCGCATTTAACGCCTGGCGTTACAGTGTACATAATATCCACATCAGACAATACAAACTCGAGATTCGGCCGACTATAACAGTGTACGAATCATTCAATATGGAAGGCATATTATCTCAACGGTCTTCTGTGTACTGTGGCAACTTCAGTACGTTACTTTGTGTCAACTTCAGTACGTTACTTTGTGTCGCGCTCATTTTAAACTCCGAATTAGCTCCGTATTATTCATGAGGAATGCGCGACTTTAGACGCATTAATTTATTCTCGGCTTTCTCAATTGACGTTTACGAATAGTTTTTTTATTCCGAGTTTTGACTCGGATGTTAAAATGTATGCATTCATAAATGTGAGAAGGAAAACAGATGATTTATTCTAATCGAAAAATTCAAAGCTTCAAACCGAGAAGCATTTTATCTATCCCTAATGTTTCTTTTTTTCTGACTGCGATCTTAAATTTGATCTACAATGTGCTCTTCGTTTTTTGTTTCTTTCTGTTTATCTTTTTCTGGTTTAAATCTTGATCTTTTAGAAGATCTAGTTAGAAGAACATAAAGAATAAGAAACAAGAAGCGGAGAGTACATTGTAGATCAGACTTTAAGTTTGATTTATAATGTTTTTTGCTTCTTGTTTTTATCTCTTTCTGATTCAAACTTTAACCCTTAAGCTTGATTTATATGTGTATTTATACATGTAAATTTGTGTATTTAATCATGTATTACATGATTTACAATATGTTGTTTGCTTTCTGTTTTTTTTCTTTATCTCTTTTTGACTCAAACCTTAAGCCTAAAGCTTGATCTACATTGTGTTATTTGCTTTCTGTTTCTTTTTTTATCTCTTTTTTACTCAAACCTTAAAGCTTGATCTATAGTGTATTATTTGCTTCCTGTTACTTTTTCTCTATCTCTTTCTGACTCAAGCCTTAAACCTTAAACTAAAAAAAAAAAAAAAAAACAGAAAATAAAAAATAGAAAGCAAAGAACACATTGTAGATCAGGCTTTAGTCTTAAACTAAAAGGAGACAGAGAACAAGAAACAGGTAGCAAAGAGCATATTGTAGATCAAGCTTAAGTCTGAAAAAGAAACAGAGAACAAGAAACAGAAAACAAAGAATATATTGTAGATCAGGTTTTAATGTTATCGTTTCACGTGTTTTCGTGTTACTAAAGCCACAAGTAGCTAATACTTATTCAAAAGAGCCGATACCTTAGCCAATTTCTCGTCCTTCACGATCGCGAGGATGATTCATCGCTTAAACTCCTCGCTTGGAGAACTTCCAGCGTGATTCAGGTTGGAAGGTTTGTTCGCGCGCTATAACTCGAACTCGTAGTGATGCATCCTCGCGATATGCAAAATGCGCTATACTTTTGCTTCTCGAGGTGTAGCATCTGCGATTTGCGTGAAAGCACACGACGGCAGACATAAAAAGATAATTCGCATCTTCGACGTCGTAGCTGCGACTCTCGCGATTTGCGTAAGAATTCAAAAGGAAACCGATACCGCGAATATGAAATGCATATTACAAGCTTCTGTATATCTTCTCCTTCTCGATCGTAGAGATCGTAGGATTACGATTCCTAGAATCTTTTCAAATTACCGCTCCTAATAAGAGAGTGTGAAATCGCGCTTGATCGTTAATCGTGCATTCGCACCAAATGACTTCCGCTAGTGCGCGCTCGGGTGGATCGATCGACGGTGTTTGATACCGATCCGGATCGACGTGTATGTGTACGTGCGCCGATCTATGAAGGAAAGTTCCGTGCACTGGCAAAGTTTACCTTTGACGCCGCGGGCACTCTCAGATTCGGTTCTGGGGAACTTTGCCGCTCGCCGTCCGTTTGCGATTCCCAGCTTTCTCCTTTTCAACCCTCTACAGCCTGATGCGATTTCAAAGTAATGTATCGTATATTTGGCTGTTTTTACGTTAATTTGAAAGGATTTTGCGCCACTGATCTTGTGACGTAACGTCGCCTGGTCTATCACGGTTCTGTCGTCGCTTTAAAGTCAGGTTCAGTTCTCGGACAGACGCAGTTTTTTAGCCGATAACAATTTTCTAACATGCTTCAATGAAATGTTTCAATTCATCCCTCGTTCTTATCGGAAAACTCTCGTCAAAGCGCGATAGAATAGATTTCTGCTTACACAAATCTCTCGGTGATAAACGATACATCGACAAACTTTCCATACTCAATAGATCGGGCAGCAGACGGTAAATATTATCTTATCTCGTAGCATACAGCAGGTCTTCTTTTAGAATGTTTGCGTTAAATTCGTGCATCATACACAGCGAAAAGTGCTCTCAGTGCAATTAGTCGCGATTTGCTAAAAATGTATTTGTTGCTGTAACTGAAACTTTTGCCACTATCAAAAATCAAAACAGCAAAGCCAATAAGAGCATTCTCTTTGCTGTTTTGATTTTTTATTATAATCTCAGAACCTAATTAACTAATTAATTAATTTTTTCGTTTGTTTTGCCACGATATTGCTATTATAATTAGTTCCATAGCTAAGTCTATATGCCTAAGGGCAGCTATACATTACAAGAATACATACAGGTATAACCATATGTTATAACTAGACTTAAGTATCACACATAGATTCTTGCTGTCGCAACTAATTTATTTTTTTGTGCATAACGTTGCACTGAGAAAAAAATATTTAAAAATTTATTTGTGGAATATAAAGTTTATTCACAGAAAAATAAATTTTGTTTCACAAAAATAAACTTTATACCCTACAAATAAATGTTCAAATATTTTTTCACAGTGTGACGACGTTTCTCGTACGCTACGAGAGAAAATTTGCATCGGTCGTTTTGATTCACTCCCGCATATTTTTTTTTCACATCACCCGATACATATCTAACAGCTGCGTCCAGTGTATAGACCTTGAGCAGTCTAGTTAGCATTATAGTGATAGAGAAAGCAGGAATTATCGTCTTATTTATTGTAAGAATAAACATCGTGAGCTTGTTAGGTTAACGTCAAGGAAATGTCCTGTTTTACGCTGAGACTTTAATGGGTTAATGTGTATCGCGTCGGACAAGTTGCGAACGTGCCTTGGTCTAGGACGTAGCTCACGTGCGCAACAGATGCCGCGAAAACACACGTTGGCGTGATCTGAAATCTCACAATGCCGTTGCGAGCCACGTCTTCGAAAGAGCTCTTGGAGGACTTTTCGAAAAATCTGTTTCGTAATCTGATACGCGGAAACAAACTCGGATCGTGTAACTGATTATCCGTTGTCTGGGCACCAGATGAAAACTTGGTTGTTACACCACACGAGAGAAGAACTATCTAAGAAATAAGAAATATTTATTGGCGAATATTGATGACATACCGATTATTTACTTATTGACATAAAATATTTTTCATGAGAGAAAGAGATTAACAGAAAATTACATTAATTTTTAATTAAATATATTTTCTTGAAACCTTAGTTCTTCACGAAAGCAGTTGTTTATTCTGTTTAAATAAAATAACGTAGATTTAAGCAAATATGCTAGTAGAGTATATTCTCTATTTTTTTATGTTTTTTCTTTCTCTCAGTGTAGAAAAATAGAACAGTTCCTTTTAAATTTCCATTTAGTCGATTGCTCTTACTTATCTCAGCCAAGTTTTAACGCAACCGAGTGTCCCGACGAATTTTTTTCGGTCGCGATAACAGAAATATCATTTCTTCTCGTCGAGTTATTATCTGGTTCCCATTCTATTAGACAAACTGGAATATTTTTGCCATGTACTGCCCTTGCATTTCGGAGATTATCCCTTCGTGTGAGTCCTTCTCGTGTTTCTTTACCGAGCCTTAAACCCGAGAACCGAAAAACTGCTTATTAAGAATTTGTATTTTTCATAAAACAGCGGGCGTTGAATATAGTTTCTTATTTCATCCGCGTGATGGTATATCCACTTTAAATCGCAAATAAGCAGCCTCAGGGAGTTTCTGTGACTTTTACAGCGTATTCGTGCGCGAAATTAAGTTGCGTGTTAAGCGTGCTTCTCGTTTTTGGAGATTATGTTTCCTCTCTCTAACGAAGTCTTTATAAAAATACCCTTTGCCGTTCGCGCCTGCTAAGCCGGCGACAGTATCGCTCGGGGTGCAACTCGTTTGGTTTCCATTGCAAACTCCTTATGTCATCCTACTCCCTACATTATCATTCCTATATTTCGCATCATTTTCAACGAAGAGAGAGAAAGAGATAGTAAAAAGAGTATCGATACGATTATATTCAATTTACTTCCGACCTGGACTGACCCCACGAACGTCTCCTCGGCATTCTTTTTCGCCATAAATCGATTCTCATCTCTCCCCGCAGTATGATCTCATCTAAAAACCTCATGTGGTCGACATGCTCTCGATGTTTCTTAGTACATTCCAAGTTAGCCCTGACACGTCAAGAAAACCGTGACTCTCTTTAGGCAAACAAAATTACACAATTATCGCGTTGAGCGTTGCAGCGATACGACAGATACTGTCTTTTTAATCTACTTTTGGTTATCTCTTAATATTTCATATTTACAATCGTGTATGAGTATGTATGTTTGTATATGTGTATATGTTCAGCGTTCTTGATATTTATAAAATGATAACCGTAAACTTCGGGAGACTTTGGCCGTGACTTGTTGATAATCACACTCGAGGGTTAATGAAAAATGGATGTTTGCTACATTAACATGATACGGATTGAGCATTATATGATTTTTGTTTTCGAAGTTATGTCATTTCTGTCTATTCCTATTAGTATCGCGCCGAGCATTTTATCCATCAGATAAATATCCTCTATTTTTGCTTTTCAATGGCTCAATCGTATAATCGGCGCCACGT